TTTTTTTTTTTTTTTCAAAAAATATACTTGTGCTTTTCTTTCCTTCACTTTCTTTCTGGAAATAGGGACACACACCCTAAAAAACAACAGCAACAAGCAATACAAGCAGGGAAACATCCAGAGGGCCTGGGTGCATGTGGCTAAGCAGGCTGGGCAGGCCCGGCCCAGGTGGCCTCTGGGAGGCGGGAAGGGGGTGCATGTGTCTGCCAGCCACCTTGTCCTTCCAGAAGGCCTGGGGAATAACTCTCTTCAGCCTGTGTTTTCCATCTTTTTTTAAAAATAACTCCTTTGGTGGGTGGGAAGGAAGTGACCAAACTTACACTTTGAGCCTGATGACATGACAGTGTAATCCTAAAAATAGGGGGCTCCTCCATTTCTCGTAAATGAAGTGTTTCCTACCCCCAACACAGAAAGAAGGGCTACGGATTTTGTGTCGACTAGAAACTGGGGGTGAGCCTTGGTGGTGACCCAGCAGGTGAAAAGGACAGACTAATGGTAGAAAAGACAAAAGAATGCCCAGGAGCCATGTGTAACCTGCTAAGCCTATTTGTGTTTAAACTGGAAACTTTTGCCCTAAAGCAAAAGCACTTTAGAAAACACACAAATAGGGGCGCCTGGGTGGCTCAGTTGGTTAAGTGGCCGATTTTGGCTCAGGTCATGAGGTCATGATCTCGCTGTTCGTGAGTTCGAGCCCTGCCAGCTCTTGTGCTGACAGCTCGGAGCCTGGAGCCTGTTTTGGATTCTGTGTCTCCCTCTCTGCTCCTCCCCCACTCATGCTCTGTCTCTGTCTTTGTCTCAAAAATAAACATTAAAAAAGAAAACAAATAAAACCAAATACCCTGTGGCATTTACCAGCACTAAGGGTCTGACTCTCTTATTAATCCTGACTGTACTATGCAGGAGACAGGTGTTTTGGGTCTCAGAGCCCCTATCTGTACAGTGGGGAGGACTCACCCCTCCTACTCCTGGGACTCTGGATCTCCAGGACAAAGTTTTTTGAATTAAAGAAATGATCAAGCCTAAAGAGACATGACATTAAGAGAGGGTCAGGGACAAGAACAGAGGTTCTTAAACCCTTAAGAGTGGCAGTAACTTTGGCAAAGCCCATTTCCTATTGGGGGAATGGTCAGAATGCCAGACTTAGTCAGCATGAAGAAACCAACCACATCAGTCCGATGCAAATTTGTGGCACATGCAATACCAAGCATGGCTGGAAAGGGACGTGACAGGCCAGTGTGGCCAGAGCAAAAGTCTTTCCCCAGGCCCATCCCTGGATCAACACAGAATCTCCACGGTTGGAGGAAGTACTGTCTCCCCCTGCTCACCTGTGTAGAAGCTGGAAGGTTGACTGTCTTGCTCGAAGATGCTCTTGGTCTGAGAGTCGAATCGGAGCCATAGTCCAACAGCAAGGACCGCGATCCCAGCAAGCTGCAGGATATACAGGATGTGGACATCAGTCCTGGCTGCTGGTAGGAGCACAGCCCCACAACACCAAAGGGGACACTTGCAAAGGGTTCTGGGACCACCCTTGGTGGTCCCTGCCTCTCACCGTGCACCTGGTAGTAACAGGGGCCCAGTGTGGGAATCAGTCCATTTGCTAAAAATATCAGCAAGCTGGGAACAATTACTTACTAGCAGTCCAGCCGGTAGAATGGATACTTCATGGACACTAGAATACTCTACAGCAGTGAAAAATGAGCCACTGTAGCTACGTGCAATACTATGAGTGCATCTCATGATGCCAAACAACAGCAGCAAGAGACACCAAAAAAACATACAATGTGATGCCTTATAGTTAAGAACTGCTCTGCTTTTCAGAGGTACATATAAATGACCAAGATAAAGAAAAGAATTAACATAGAGTCAAGTGTGCAGTGCCCTGTAGGGGAAGGAAGGGATTTCTGATAAGGGAATAGCACTTGTGAGAGCAGGGTCTAGGGCACTGGCAATATTCTAGCTCTTAACTTGGGTGGTGGTGACGCGGATATTCCCTTCCTGATTATTCTTTAATCTGTTCATGTTTCAGATGTACTCTGTATATGTACCATATGATAAAAAAGAAGCAGGTTGCTCAAGGGGCACAGCTATGCACCAATGAGGTCGATTCCTTACAAAATCACACGGCTCATTAAGTGACATAGAGCAGCGTCCTCCCTAAGTGGCCGACATTTGTCCCTTCCCTTTCACCCTGGGAAACCTCACAGGCTGACCCCCTCCCATTCCAGGTTTTAGATGCCTGCTCCCTTACGAGTGATCCTTACATAAACATCAGATAAGACACTTCTGAGTAATCTCCCAATCTTCTGAAAATCCCATTTTGTAGGTGGGCAAGTTGAGATACTGGACCCTGAAGGGCAGCCCTTCCCACCAAGGGACAGAACCGAGGTGCCAAATCCCAGCCTGGCACTGTTGAACTAGAGGCCTGTGCAGGCGGCACCCCCTGCCAAGTTGTCCTTGACCCCCAGGGCCAGCTGGTCTCCCCAGACTCTCGCTCGGACCAGGGTTTGCATGAGAGTGATTCCCATGGATGCCTCCTCAACAGAGGCGCCCTATGTCAGAGCCCTGCTCCTGAGAGAGCTTGGTTCTCTGCCCTGAGAGCTGGGACGGCCCACCGTGTGGCCAGGCCTCTCTTTCTTTAATTGTTTGTTCCACTTCTTTTCCCCAGGACTTGGTGGTGGGTGTAGACGTGTCGGGTGGAGGTGGAGGTGGTGATGGTGGAAAGGACGACCCAGGGCCTCAGCCTGCCATAGGGTCAAAACTGTGCCCATGCCTCCAGTGGTGTATTTCCACAGCGAGGCTCTGGATTTCCTGGCTCAGAGCCCTATTGCCTCAGTTTTCCCATCTGTAGAACAGGAATGGCGAGATGTGGCCCTTCCTTGCTTTTTAAGTATGGCTAACAGTAAAGGAGATCATATTAGAAGTATTTCCGAAAGGGGAACCCAATGGGCTTTGTGAGAAGAACTTTATGAGCACCCCGGTCACCAGCATCACACTCCTCCCCGCGGAGGAGTCATTCCGCATCTCCCCAGATCTCTTAGGCTTCATGTGACAGAAGGCAACCACCAAACATCGGTAGGAAGTACATACCCCCAGGTGCCCCATGGCGGACAGTGCAGGAAAGAAAAACTCATGGTTGCCAGGCTTTCCTTCTTATTCACAGGACACTTGCAGGTGAGTGAGGGTCTCCTGGCCTAATTCCAAGACAGCAGACATGGCTCCGTGGGGGAAAAGTAGGAGTCTCCCTCCCCATTTCTAGCCTGGATGCTCTGGCACAGACTGGGTTCTCTTGACTCACGAGTGCCACTGTTGGGGCAGGGACACAGTGGGGCCAGGCTGGGACCTCCCTGTACACTGAGTACAGGACAAGCACACACTAAGTGGGCCCTGACTCTGGTGGGCAGGCTCTGGCCTAGCTCCCCCCTGGGATCCTGGAGAGTTAAAAGAAAGAAGGCAATACTTTCTCCTCTCCCCACAACATATGGAGGCCCAGTGAGGCTCCTGGACAATGGGAGACTGAGGCTGCTGGCTTCCCTATGGACATGACAGTGTTAACCTGAGAATGCTGTGGGCAGGGACTGAACATGCACTGGAGGCACAGTCAGCACTTGCCACAAACCTTGTCCTCAGTCCTCCCTCTTGTTGACAACACCTGGGACCTAAGAGAGGTCCGTGTCCCTTACTGTCATTTCTGCTCTACGCTTGTGCTTATCAAAGAATTAGCCTCGGGACGCCTGGGTAGTTCAATCGGTTAAGTGACTCTTGATCTCAGCTTAGGTCATGATCTCAGGGTTGTGAGTTCAAGCCCTGTGTTGGGCTTCATGCTTGGCGTGAAGTCTACTTAAAAAAGCAGAAACAGGGGTGCCTGGGTGGCTCAGGAAGTTAAACCACCAACTTTGGCTCAACTCATAATCTTGCGGTTCATGAGTTCGAGCCCCACATCGGGCTCTATGCTGACAGCTCAGAGGCTGGAGCCTGCTTCAGATTCTGTGTCTCCCTCTCTCTCTGCCCCTCCCCGACTTGTACTCTGTCTGTCTCTCTCTCTCTCAAAAATAAACATTAATTTTTTTTTTCAACTTTTTTTTTTTTTTTTAATTTATTTTTGGGACAGAGAGAGACAGAGCATGAACGGGGGAGGGACAGAGAGAGAGGGAGACACAGAATCGGAAATAGGCTCCAGGCTCCGAGCCATCAGCCCAGAGCCTGACGCGGGGCTCGAACTCACGGACCGTGAGATCGTGACCTGGCTGAAGCCAGACGCTTAACCGACTGTGCCACCCAGGCGCCCCATTAATTTTTTTTTTTTAAAAACAAAAACAAGTTATCCTCAATTATTTCTCTTTGGGTATGATTCCATGGATAACAAGAGGGTACCCACCTAAAGCCTGAAATGGTGAGGCCTCTTCCATTTTATAATTTCAAGGAGCCTGAGCCAATCTGTAAAAGTCCAGTCATTTATCTGGTCTATACACACATGTGTCAAAAAGGACACTGTACTGGAGAATTGGAACCAGGAGAGAAAGGACTTCAGGTCTCACCCTGGCTAAGGACAAGGCCAGACAGAGTCGGGAGTCCATGTTTGGACCCCACCCAAAACCTGGCCTCACACTGCTTGGTTGTCAAAGCCACAACACTTTACTAAAAGGAGAAAGAAAAAGCAGCTGGCTCTGGAGAAATGGAAAAAGCAGTAATGATCCCAGTTTCTTACGCCTATAAACTCACCAAAAGAGACAAGGAGGAAGGTCTAAGAAACCCAGGTGGAGGAGAGGGTCAGGGGCAGAACCGGGAGCACACAGTTCACAAAAATCAGAGGAATGAGCCCTGCTGCTCTTTTGGATTGAATTACTCAGTTAATTGGCCTGAGGGGAAGATATGTAAGCCATTAGCTGCCCCATTTTCTGTAATGCTATTGGAGAAATGGCTTTATCGGCCGGGTAACCGATGGATGGTTCAGGGTTACAGGGCCACATATAATGGGTGTCACCTAATAATGGCTCATGGTTGTGCAGGCAGTATTATCTAAGGAGCTCGAGAGTTACTTTCTAGAAGAGTTCACTTTTTGGTGTGGCACTGAGAGGGGTCCCAGGCCCCCACCTGGCTCTCACCCCTAGCTATGTGGAATACTAGGAGAAAACAAATGGCAAGAACCAGGGAGAACTTTACCTGTGACAAAACTGTCACACTGAGTCGCTTATGAAGGGACTCCATGAAGTAAGAAATCGGGGATCTGGGAGGCCAAGAAGTTGCTGGTTTCCTCCCAGGTTAGTTAGCTGATGTGTGGCAGGAATGTTGGCCACACAGTCGTCATGGTGGCCGCCTTGCTTTGTAACAGTGCAGGATCTGAGCAGGTCTGATGTAGACGTTCAGTTAGCCGATTCCTGATCACAGGCCCCCCTCCCCCACCATGTAAAGGACAGCAATCAGCCTCAGACCACCAGCTGGGTGGTGGGGATGGATGTGAAAAGTCCAGAGCCTCTACTCCTAGCCTGAGGCACTGCCCAGTCTGCCTGCTTACCTCATTCTCAAAGGAAGCCAAAGGAAAACCTTCCGGTTTGGCTGAGAAAAGGTCCTTTGCCTTCAGGCCAAAAATGGTCCCATCTATCTGACAGTGCAGGGAAAAAAAGGATAGCCTTTCCCCATTGTTTTATTGGAAATTCTTAAATTCTTCACGCATGTTCCTTTTGTTCTTAGAAGACAGCCATGAGAAAAACCTAAACTGAGGACATTCTACAAAATACTTGCTCGTCAGCACTTCTCAGAACTACTAAGGTTATGAGAAACCAGGGAAGACAGAAACGGTCACAAATCATAGACGGAGAAGTATGACAACCATCATGTGGTACCACGGATGGGACCCTGGCACAGAAAGAGGACATGACTGGTAAAACAAGTGAAATCTGAGTAAGTTTAGTTTAGTTGACAGCAACATTATCAGTGTTGGTTTCTTAGCTGTGACAATGTGATGTGGTAATTAGAGGTGCTAACTACAGGGGAAATTCTTGGGACATAGGGGGTTTGCTATACTGTCTTTGCAAACTTTCTGCAGATCTGAAACTGTTCTAAAACTAAGAACGTATATACATGTGTGTGCACATGTATATACATATTTATGAAGCCGGGCTTCTCTTTCAAAGCTTCTAGGTCTCTCTATCCTAAAATTCCCAACAGAAACGAACCCTCTCTTCTTCCAGGCTCACTGCTCCTTCTGGTTGCCCTGTGCACTCACCCCTGAGCTGGTGGCTTACCCCTCTCCAGGTCCCCACAAAGTGGTCACGGTATAATGCACCCAGCCCTCCATGTGGACAGCAGCCATGTCCCTGAAAGGCTTAGGTCAGTCGTTCAGTTTTTTTTTTTTAATTTTTTTTTTTTTCCAACGTTTTTTATTTATTTTTGGGACAGAGAGGGGAATGAGCATGACGGGGGAGGGGGCA